TGACAACAGAGATGGTGCTCTGGCGCCTTGAAAATCAAGGGTCGTATGATATATTGATGAATGGATTTTCCTTGCAATCTACCACTACTCCTAAGAAAGCAAATAAATGTATTGAAAGTGCATTACAAGAAAATATAATTTGCTCTGTGGGAGGCTTTTGGTTTAGTGTTTGAACCCTTTGAATGTAATCTTGAGTTTAGTATTTTTAGGGGGAGTCCTGGAGGGACAATCGAGGCTGACAAGACCTGCGTGGTGGAACCTGACCGGGGCAAGGAGGTAGTCAAATCGGCATTTGGGATCGTGAAGTATGGTGGCTTGGGGTTGAGAAGCATGGTGGTGTGACCCCCATAAATCTCGGTAAATCTCGGCCACCGCCCTGATCGTGGGTTCTGCCCCCTTGGCCGTGGGAACGCATTTAATGCCCTGGTCTGGTGGTTGGTGATCTGACCTTAAGTCGTAAGATTACTTGTGAGAATGTCTGCGCCTAACCACCCTGATTTCCATCACCAAATCTTGACTTCATTCACTTTCCTTGTGCATTAAATGTTTCTTGCAACTAGTGGGTTTGCTGTGAAGTCAGAGGCATTACTTCATTAAATGGGACGTGGGACCCTGAGGCCACGTGGCGATTTAACCACAGCTTCTTCGGCCGTGTCTTTTACGGCCTTCGGCTTCGGCCTTCAACACTGCGGTCGCGAGGCCGAGAGGATTCTGCCTTTATAGTTTTCCTTTTGTTTCAGGAATGCGAAATGCTCGACGAAACGGTAGGTGCCAGGGCCGAAAGGAAGTCCCCTCAATCAGCTTATGACCGTGATTTATATAGGCACAAACAAAATCTAATCGAGCAGCAATCCCATCTTTATTTTTTCCAGGGATCTCCAGCAATGTACCAATGATACTATCGCAAACATTCTTCTCAATGTGCATAACATCTAGGACATGCCTCACAGGAAGGTATTTCCAATACTCGAGATCAAAGAATATTGATTTCTTCTTCCAACAAACTCTGTCACCATCTTCAACCATATGCAGCACTTCTTCTCCGGTTAATGGCTTGGGAGGCGTGCCATATTTAGGTTTCCCATTAAAAGCTACACGTTGCCTCCTATATGGATGATTGATCGGTAACCATTTTCTATGCCCAATGTAACAAATTTTGTGGCCATTTTTCAACCTATGACTAGGTGTATCATTGCCACATATTGGACAAGCTTTATATCCTTTAACAACACAACCAGATAAGTTTCCATAGGCGGAGAAATCATTAATTGTCCATATTAATGCAACTCTGAGTGTAAAGTATTCTTCATTATGTGCATCATACACTCCTCTAATCCCATCCCACAAAGATTTTAAATCATCAATCAAAGGCTCCAAGTAGACGTCTATATCATTTTCGGGTTGTTTAGGACCGGAAATCAATAAGGTCAGCATCATGAACTTTCGTTTCATGCACAGCCATGAAGGGAGATTATATGTAACTAAGATAACTGGCCAGCAACTATATCTGCTACTTAGAGAACTGTGGGGAATGAATCCATTAGATGAAAGGGCCAATCTCAAGTTTCTCAGCTCATTACCAAACTCGGGCCATTTATCATCAAGAAGTTTCCAAGACGGAGAATCTGCCGGATGAGACATCTGACCGTCAATTGATTTTCTAGCAGCATGCCAAGTCAAACTCTCAGTTGTCTCATGTGATTGAAACATCCTTTTAAACCTTGGAATTGGAGGAAAATACCACACCACCTTCGCTGGCATACCCTCTTTCAAGATTAAATCTTTGCCTTCCTTCCACCTTGAGATACCACAAGTAGGACAATTAGTTGAATCTTCATACTTCTTCCTATACAAGATGCAATCATTGGGGTATGCGTGCATTTTCTCATAACTCAGCCTCAATGCACACAAAGTCTTTTTTGCCTCATACATTGAGGTCGGTATTTTATTTCTCTCTGGAAGCAAATCGTCTTGAAGTATTAATAATTCTGTAAAACAGACATCACTCATCCCATGTTTTGCCTTCAAATTATACAACTTCACTAATGCCGATAACTTCGTGTACTTTCTACAACCAGGGTACAATGGTTGATCTACATCCCCAATCACATTGGCAAACTCATAAGGATCAGATCCAAAATCACCAAAATCATTATCATCCATCTCTATTTCTTCAGACACAAAACTGTACCTACTATGGTCATCATCTTCTTCAACATTTCTACTAGCATTAGTAGCTGCTTCCCAAGGTTCTCCGTGAAATGTCCAATTCTTATAGCTTTGGTCAACTCCATTAAAGTATAAGTGATCCCTTATAATTCCAACCCCAAACAATTTCAAATTAACACATTTAACACATGGACAACGGATATGTGTGGTAGTTAGAAGATTTTCTACAGAAAAGTTAAAAAATGCTTCCACCCCTAACTCATATGCCTTCGATCTTCTATCCAAGTGCATCCATGACTTATCCATCTTCGACACTATACCCTATTATCTATAATAAAGTGAAAAGACAAGCAATGACCATCACTATAGCAGATTATATAAAGTTTTAATAGCAAGTAATATATACAGACGACGGTTTTTAAACAAAAACAGATGTATTGGACATATATAGACGACGGATTTTCAACAAACGTCGTCTAATGCTAACCACGATGGTAGTTAAAGAAAACCGTCGTGTATAAAAATACAGACGACGGTTTGTTAAAAAACCGCCATCGTATGCCTAAAAAAACGTCGAGATCTCAGTTTATTTTCAAGAACCCAAAACCCTATTAAGAACACAACATATACATTAATTTTTATGTTGGGTATTAAGAACACGTATACTAAGCAGAAAACCAACATATACTAAGCATGAAAACAATAAATCCATTCCCGATTCGACATAATAGAGAGTGATTAAAAGATTCGACAACATTAAATCCATTCCCGATTGATCATGAAAACATTAAATAGAAAATCCATGAACCCATACCTCCGACAACATTATTAAAAGATCGCAAAACATATATCTAAAAACCCTTTAACAAAACAACTGAATATCATTCAATGAATTTACAAGGGGAAGATAAGGATTTGTACTTACAGGTAGGCTGAGCTCACAGATTATGGCCTACTTGGATTCGACGGAGCCTGGAGAGCCCAACTTTGAATTAGAGTTGAAGTGAGAGAGCGAAATGTTAAGGGGATTTAGAGCGAAATCTGAAAATTTTAGGTCGCCGCGAAATTTTTTGGAGAGCGCACTCTTTAAAACATCGACGGAAAAAAAACAACCGTCGTTAAAATTTCACATTAAACATGACACTTATTACATTAAAGCCATAAAATCAAAAAACCGTCGTCAAAACTAAAAACGAAATATGACGCTTATTATACAAAATGCGTCGTGGTAACTCCTTACGACGCAAAAAAAAAAAAACTGACGTATGAGAAACTAATTAAATAAGTGGGTTTTGGTTTTGCTGGGATTCGAACTCGTGAGCGATGGGTGGAATGAACAGAAAATTAAATATAAAAAATATACCCCCAACCCTAATAAAGCAAACACAAATTTATTTATTTATTAATTATTTTAGAAAAGGGATTAGGGTTTTAGGGCCAAAAATATCTAAACCAAAAATATTCCTTTAACCCCCTAAACCCTAAACCATCAAACTATAAGTGATATTGTGACTCATCAAAACATTTTTTTTTTTTTGTGGTCATTTTAAATTTGTATTACTCAAACTGCATTTTTTTAAGCTGAAGGAGGAAGATAATATCTCAATGACTTCATAGGAGTTGACGTTGCATTTTTTGGATTTATTTTAAACAACAACAAACCACGTCAGCGTTAAGAAAATAAAGACGTTGTAAATTGTAATAAACGACTTACTTGTAAAAAGGACGTCGTTTAAAAGCGAAACCATGGCGAAAGTTTCACCAAAACTGACATAACATCACTATTCCACGACTCAGACACTGAACTTAACGCCGTTTATTTAAAACCAACCACGTCGTCTATTGAACCAATAGCGTCATTTGAATAACCTTTTACGTTTTTTTTAATTCGATGACGTTGTTATTGTACAACATCATTTTAAAGGAACGCCGGTTTAGAAAGCACACTTCGTAAATTATCAACTGAAAACATAAACACCGTCGTTAAAAAATAATACCCTAAACCATCAAACTATAAGTGATGTTGTGACTTATCAAAATAATTTTTTTTTGGGTGGTCATTTTAAATTTGTATTACTCAAACTGCATTTTTTTAAGGTTTAGGGGGAAGAAAATATATCAATGACTTCATAGGAGTTGACGTTGCATTTTTTTGATGTATTTTAAATTTATTTTGAATATTTTGAATTAAATAGAATAAAATATTCTTACAAACACCAACAAACCTCATCCGCGTTAAGAAAGTAACGATGTTGTAAATTTTAATAAACGACTTACTTGTAAAATGGACGTCGTTTAAAAGTGAAACCATGGCGAAATTTTCACTCAAACGATGTCATTTAAACACAACTTAAATGGCTGTCATCGACGTACAAACTGTATATCACGACTTAAACTAAAAAGGTGTCGTCGTGTAATTTAATTACCACATCATCTCTGTCGTCTAAATATCCTTTTACGTTGAATTTGTTTCAAAAGATGACGTTGTTATTTTTTACAACATCCGTTGTAATAAATGGAACATGCATTAAACGTCACCTATACTTGCTTTGGACGTCGTCTGTAATGTACAGCCGTGTTTTTTATTCCTCTCGTTTTATTTTTTTACAAACTTTTGTACTCCATAAGACGACGGTGTTTGATGTAATTATGTCGTTGGAACGATATTACACGTCGGTTACGCAATTTCTTTTTTTTTTTAATTACAAAAACCTCAACAAATTTTTAGGGAAAAAAAGAATGTATATTATAGACAAAATTTGTACAAAAACTTTACTAATTCTAACAAAATGTGTACATTATATAAAAATGTCAAGTGTTCTAAAAATCCTCTACTCCATATAAAGGCAAACAAACTCTGCCCATTCTTTCCTGACTTCATCAATGGCTGCTTGGGGGTATGGCGCTTGATCTTTTCCCTTCGCAAACTGCAATCAATAAACAATGATTATTAAGCTTTATAAATAAACAGAAATTCAATCACAGACAACGCTATTTTTCATAACCGTCGTAGTATATCGATGCAACGACAGTAATTTTAAAGGACCGTCGTTGATAATACAAAAAACCACATAAAATAAATCTGAAAATTTTCTTCTTACCGTCCTCTCAAACTCCAGGGAAGGATCCATGATGATGTCTCATGAAGCGCATGACATAATAGCCGCATTCTACACTGCTTGGTTGCTTTGGTGTGCCTGGTAGAGTTTTCCAAATGGTTGCTTTACGGCCTTGTCTGCCTATATGTGAATTATACATTTGATAGCACTGTTCAATATGTTTTTGGCCTCCTCATCAACCACTCAATTTCCGAGCAGAGGATCCAGAAAATAGATAGTTTCCTTCTTTGCTCTCACAATGAACAAGACCCAATGACGGCTGCACAAAATTAATATAAAGGTTAAACAGTTTTATACGCAGTGCATCATACAAACAAAATCCTGTTAAGGAGACTAACCCTGGATTGTAAGGCATCATGAAAATCTGTTCACCATCTGTCTTTTGAAGTCAATTGGCTACCAAACGTGATCTCTCAGTTAATGACCCATCGTTGGCACTAACTTGAGCAGGGTCGATAAAGCCAACCATATTCAACATATTTGCAGCTTTCAAATTATCAAATAGGCACCTAAATATAAATATGAAATGATCACATGACATTTTTTTTTTCAACAGAAAGGAGAGTGTGAAATAAATATTTGATAAGGACAAACCTCATATATACTGCAACCACAGTAGCCCTAATTTCTTCCATGCCTGCAAACTATGTAATATCTTCATGCAAGACGAATGTACTACGATCTTCACCAAACACCTCCTTCTCAATTGTAAAGGTCATAATATTCTCCTGAGGCTTAGTTTCGTTTCCACATAACGACAAAGGGATTGTAAAGAAAATGGCACCACCAGCTTTGAATAATCAACTACTTCAATATTCTGTTTAAAGAAATAAAGCAAAATAAAATGACGTGGTAATTCAATAAACACGACGGTTTAAAGAAAACAACGTCGTCTGATAAATAATTTAAACGACAGTAACAAAACACCGTCGTGGTGAATAATTTATTACGTCATAGAAAACAAATTCCGACGTCTAATTAAAATGCAAAATTCATAGATAATGAATTTACCACAATTCCTTCTCTCCACCACTAGATTTCTGTTTTAATAAATAAAAAGAGATATAAAAGAAAGCTTGTACAACAATTTAAAAATTCAATTAAAAACAAAACTGCTGTGA